TTAATATACCTGCAATAGTCCCTGTGGTACCCATGACTGGGTGGGGGATTGACCCAAGGTATCAGTCATAAGGGGTCAAACTTTGCATGGGAATTTACAGGTTGAGAGTTGGGCTTCGTGTGCAGTTTAGAAGGGTTTAGGGGAAGGCGTGTCGTGTGAGGCGGACATGCTTTTTGACAGACTACCGTCCGGGAGCAACCACGGAAGCACCAATCAAGAAACGGAAGACCTCTTACATCGGAGGTAAAGTCTGCAAGCAGCAGTATCTCGTAGCGAAAGCCTGGAGCAGCGTTTGAGTAGTAGTAGTAGTAGTAGTACTACTACTACTACGACTACTAATAGCATTGAGACAAGTATAGCACCAACGGGATATGGGAATCCCTACGATCTTCGTAATATGGATCCCGATATCTATCTGTTCAAATGCAGGTCACTACAGTTTTCTTCACTTTTTACAACTTCTACCAGGAATGTAGACAATCTTTCATTCGCAGTTGAGACCCTAATTACGTGCAACCTCAATCACCCACAACTTGACGGTTTTTACCCTTTGGGCCAATTATCGTCAATCTGGAGGATTTGCAGGTGTGTAGCCTCCCCCATGGAAGGGTATACCTCCTAGTCTCCCTATGTAAGCGTTATGTACGGGTACCCTGCGGTAACTCCCCGCCTGAAAATTCCCTTGAGATTAAACTGCAGGTAATTGGGGCTGCAGGTAAGCCCCTATAAAGCCTAAACCCTGGACCTTTGGGCAAAGAGGCAACATTCGAAGAAGGCGAGTTTGGCCTGGAAGGCCAGGAAACATTCGAAGAAGGCCAAGGCGGCGGTGAGAAATATTAAGGGTTATGGGTTTAGGGGTTTTGTGGTTTACGCTTAGGGTTTGAAGGAATAGGCTGCCCGAACCCTGTGTCTCCTTCCTTTCTGGGGAGCTTGTCCCAGAGACTTTTCCATTATCTTCCGAAGAAGGCGGGACAGCCAGGGCCCGCCTAGGGACTCTTAAAACGTATTGGGATGACCAGAAGATTCTCGAAATGAACAATAGGTATCTTGAAGACATTACTAGGAGAAGCTCCCAAGTGATTGCGGGGTTTAAGGTTTTGGGGTCAGGGAGTCCAGCCGGAGCCTGAACCCTCCAACTACACTCTATTCTGGCTTAACCCTAAGGGTCCATGTACCCAATAATTAGGTACTTGGGATTTTGGTACTAGTAATTGTAGTACAGTCTTTGGGAAAATGTCTGACTATTGGGTACTTGGACTGGGCACTTGGACTCAGGGTAAGTACCCACCATCAGGAGCCCTATAACCCCAACTGAGGGTATTAGGAGGGTCTCGGAGGTTTAGTGTTCAGGAATCGCGGGACCACGCAGGGCTCCGCTACGCGTTTTGGATCGCAGCACTACACCCTAAACCCTAAACTCGATGTAAGATGTATCATGAGGATGGGACGATTTTGACTACACGCTACCAACCCGCGAACAACAGGTAGCCCCCCTAAAATACTATCGTTTTATATAGAGGAACGATTAAGATTCCTCCTTATATACAACAAACCTAATTAATTGTTTTGGGCGGGGGGGTTAAACTTGAATATCACCCTAAAATACAATACGCGTGTATTATATTGGGGGGTAGGGGGTTTGCTAAGAGGCGGTGGGGATTATTATGAGAGGAGGGGGTTTGCCTGCGGTAGGGGGTTTCGAGCGTCCATAAGCGGGCAGAGAAGATTTTCGAAGAGTGGCCAAGTGTATGTATGGTACATCAAAGGGAGCATACAGAAGACCACACCTGGCATCTTGAGGTAAGCCTTTGCCTAAAGCGTCGGCAGCCCCCGTGAAGCCAGTTAATAGTCCCACTTTAGTAGATAGAATATGGCTTTAGGGTACATTGTAAAAGATCCCCACATACCACATATTCTATCTACTTAAGGGGGACTATAATCTAACTGTTTCTGTTGTGCGCCTTTATTAGCATTGGCTCTATGCCCCGCAATCTGTTCCTGCCAATAGGTCGAAAGTCCCAAACACCAAAAACCGCAGCCCTAAACCCAATAGATCCCCGACCCCGAGCCCTAAACAACAAATCCTCAACCCTAAGCCATAAGCTCCATAAGTCCTCACGCCTAAACCATGAAACTTGCCTGAACGCCACAAAGTAGGTAATATGATAGCCCGAGACATCTGAATATAGCCCAAAAGGCCATTATTCCACATATTTTTGCGACTTAGGTAAACCTAAACCCTAAACCCTAGATCCTGAAGGTGGCGGTGACGGAGCGGACGCGACAGCTCTCACAAGCGCGGAAGAAGCTCAGACGTACAGTGGCAGCTATACCCTGGATGGTGTTTAGGGGATTGACCTTTTTTGGGCTTCCCAAATGGCGCCACCAAACATGGCAGCTCAACACATCCTAGCCTTTTGCTAGGGGTGCATGTGGCATTTGCTCCCGAAACCCGCAACCCTAGGCAAACCGTACTCGGAGCCTTCTTGCAGCAGGGCTGTTCAAAAAGCGGTGGCAGCACATGGGGAAATTCTCCCTGAGCCGTACCCCCTAGACCGTGTGGTTGGCGTGAAATCAGCCGTCTCCACGCCCCAAAGCTTGTTGAAGTGAATCTACATGGAGGCGCTTAATGCCCTCTAAATCAGTACCCGCTGTTCTGTGCTGGTACTTGCCCAGACAGGCCCAGAGGGGGCGGTGGGCTGTAGCCGGCAGGGATTAGCAGTTCTTAGGTTTGTGAGGTTTACGTATGCGCACATATCTCTACGGTTCTTTAGCTGACGGTGCTTGAGCCTTCTCTGCAGGGCTACTAAGTGCAGATGTCGTGGTGTCCTGCTCGCGGTTCAGGGTCCTCGGACGGTAAAGCAAGGATGTTGATGAAGCAGTTTGCATAGCTTCAGAGCTTAGATGGCGGTGGCAACTAAGGAGGGCACGATGCTGGCTGATGACGAAGCTTCCCAAGCAGCCTTAGCCAGCCATGTGGAGGACACAGCTGCTGCCAATGATCAAAGCATCCAGGACGCGCTTGCCACGCACGTGGGGGATACAGCAGAGGCCAATGATGAGGCGACTCAAGAGGCGCTTGCCAGCCACGTGGAGGACACGGCCCAGGCCAATGATGAGGCAGCTCACGAGGCCCTTGCCGAGCATGTGCGGAAGACGTCTGAGACCCATGATGAGGCTGCTCAGGCAGCGCTTGCCAGCCACATGGAGAATACGGCCGAGGCGAATGATGAAGTCGTTGCCTGCCGGTTGTTAGCAGGGAACTGCGGAATGGAAAAGAATATGGAAACTACCACTAGGTACAGTATCATTTTGGTTTATACGCAGGCTCCTTTCTAACTGTCATTCATCCATTCGCTTGCCTAAAACCTTCCAGCTTCAATTGTTTTCTCCATTTTTCAATTTTACCAGCAAGTAAATCTTCGACCCTAGGAGCTATATTTCCCTACAGAACTACAGTTTCCCTTGTGTTTTCCATTTACAGTTCCGTCTGGTTTACCTTTCTTCAACCCTAATCCCCAAACCTACATGCCTCTACAAACCTGATTGAGGTTTTCATTTTGTTTGTTCATTGCCCATCTGGTTTTTCAATCCAGAAACTAATGACCAGTAACTGAACCTAAACCCTAAACTGTAAGGTTGGCGGCGCGCTGGCCAGCCACGTCGAGGAATCAGCCCTCGCAAATGACGCGACGGTGTCTCAAGCCCTCGCCGCTGGGAACGATTTTGAGAACCTATAGTCCTCCTTAAGTAGATAGAATATGGGGTATATGGAGATTTTATCATAGTATACCCGATGCCATATTCTATCTACTTAAGGGCGGCTATATGGAAAAGATGTTCAAAGCATGTTTAGTAATGGTAGTATGCTGGTTCTATGTCTAGGGACCCTAACGTAATTAGTAATTACCATTCTCCTTGGTACAAAGGACAAGTCCCTGAGATTATTGCAGCCTCACTGGAACTTGGCAGCTGGGTAGGTGACCTGTACACGTTTTTGGCCCGTTTAGGGTTTAGGCTCCGTTTAAGGGACTTAATATTAGGATCCCTATTTTGTCCCAAATTTAAGGGGAGGGGGTTTATTAATCAGGGGTCTACATCATGCTGAAATTACAGTTGACATTGGCCAAGGGACCTCAACAACTTGGACACAGCATGAAATATAGTCCCCCTTAAGTAGATAGAACATGGCTTTGGGTACATTATATATCATATAATCCCATATTCTATGTACTTAAGGGGGACTATAACTGGTGGCCTTAGCCTCATAGTCTTCAACGCCCCATAGAAAGTGCCAACGTGCAACTAGTTTGCGTGAGCGATTCAACCCAAAAGGTCCATGTAGGTGCTTAGGGTTTTGGGTTTAGGGTGTAGGGCTTTAGGGCTTAGAGGTTCCCATATATCTTTTTTAAAGATTATTTTAGAAGCTCAAGTATATATCATATAGTTACATGGACTCTTAGGGTAAAGCAGTGGCAACATTTTCCTCAGGAGGACCCCAAGAGCTCCTCATGCCCCTTAAGCCTCCTGAGAGTGATTGGGTACCCCGCGCGGATCCACGCGGTTGATGGTTTATACAGTTTATAAGGCTGAGGAGATGTCGAAAAGGAACAAACTGCCTGTACTCTACACCCTATACCCTGAACCTTATACCATCTTATACCCTATACCCATACCCGCCTATACCCTATACTCCTCAAACCATGCAAAACCTCTGAACCCTAAAGCCCGAAACCTTCACCGTGTGTAAGGCCAGCCATATGGAGGATGCGGGCCTGGTAGGCGAGCAGACAATGCACGACGCGCCTGCGCTTTTTGCAGAGGAGCTGGGAGGCCGGAGACCTTCAAAGTTTAGGGTTCAGGGCTGATTTTGCGCCCGTTTCAGAGAGCTTATATGGGTTTCATGTGGATGAATATCTTAAACCTCAGGTTGCTTCAAACTCCACAGAAAGGGGCCCTACAGTCCCCACACAATCCCTACATGATCTTCACACAAGTCCGCCTCGCGGATTCCTAGCTATATTATATCCGGCTCCATTCATCTTGGCGTTCCGGAACATGACAACCATAAGGGCCCCATGATCCTTCTTACTTTTCCTGCATACTGCATCCCCAGATTACGTTACATGAGCTATAGGCTAAACTCCTTACAGGGGGTTATATAGGGGAGTACTATAGGGGATATTAAGGGGGGATACTAGGAGTTTAGACTAGTCCCCCTTAAGTAGATAGAATATGGCTTTGGGTATATCATAACAAGATCCCCATATACCCCATATTCTATCTACTTAAGGGGGACAAAATAGCTCATATGCATGCCTAGGTTGCGTTGGAACTCCCCCTTTTGAGGACCTTTTGGCTCTGTTGAGAACCGCCTGATCCCTTGTCCCTGGATCGCAATCCCACAACGGTAGAATTCCAAAACCTTCCCGCAGAATTTGGGCCCAAAACCTGGTTCCCAACTCCGTAGTTTCCGATTTTATTATAGATCTAGGAGGAGTGCAGAAATCCTACCCTGTCCCAAGCAAACTTGAAAGCCAATGTAGCCTAAATCCTGAACCGTAGTCGTCTCTAGGCCTTTTTTTGGGCCGTTGGGCTTCTGTCTTTGTTTGGGGAAGGCAAATCCTGGCCCCCCAACCCGATACTCTCAGCCATAAACCCAAACCACATGATGTTTTTCTGTACATCTCCATGCCTCCCCAGCCCCATATACCTTGCACATAGCTGTGCATGGCATTTTCCATGGGGGAACCCCTCTTGCTTAGGATTTAAGCTTTAGCGTCTGTGGGAATCCCACTAAAGGTAGCCAGCCTTTGTCTACGGTATAACCCTAATCTCTGCCTATAAACCCTTACCATCCCTTACCCTAAATTTCTCAACCCTCAACCCTAAACCCCCGGATCCCTCAACCCTACATGAGCCATATTCTAAACTCCTTAAAAGGGGGTTATTTGGGGGATTACATAGGGGACTACTATAGGGGTTATTAAAGGGGAATACTAGGAGTTTAGACTATAGCTCACATATCCCTTGGAGAGCCCGACTTTGATTTGACCTTCAGGCGAGGAAGCTTCAGGCCATGAAGTGGGGGAGGAAAAGGCGGAGGCCCGAGATGCAGTCTACCTGGTTTCGTGATATGCCTTAGGTGGAACCCTCAACCTGTAATAGTGGCTATAAAGGAGAATAAGGGTTATATAAGGATCCTACTAGATTTCTCTCTCACCACTATAATAGTCTAACCCCAACATAAAAGTGGCTATAGGGGATAATAAGGGTTATACTAGGATCCTATTAGATTCCTATTCTACCACTGTTACTGGGTGGGGGGTATACCTACGTACTTCACTTTTGGATGCCGGGCTTTTCGGCTTGGATTGGATCTTACGAGTTAGGGATGAGGGCACCCTAAGCCTTAAACATCCTGAAGCCCTAAATCCTTAACGCCTAAATCCCTAAACTTTGCACCCTAAATCCTAAACCCTAAATTAAACTAGGGCTTGGTGACGAACTTGAACCTTTAAGATTTAGCAGCATTCGGAAGGTTGGGAACCTAAGGCACCTCCCAGAAAATCTACAAAAAAAAATACACGGACATTCTGCGGGGTGCCTAGGGTTAAGGATGATGTTTGAGAAGCTCCCATCTAGCCTAGTCTTTCCAATAGACCCTGCAGCAGAAGAAGTGATCAATGACTTCATAGTCATATTAGACACCCCTACTTTCAAATGTGTCTTCCAACATATACAGACTCGTATGGGGAATATTGAATAAGATTGAATGACAGCGGTTGGGGTGCTAATAAGATTAGTATGAAGGGACTACCCATTTTATCCTCTCATATAACCCTTGTATGAATATACGCCAAGCCTTTTTTAATTGTTTACGTAGGCCCTCGCTCTATTTGTATGCGCACATACATACAAGCATAGTTACAAACAAACAAACAAACAAACAAACAAACAAGCAAACAAGCAAACAAGCAAACAAGCAAACAAGCAAACAAACAAACAA